CCGTTCCCCGCAGCGAGGTCGGGGCGCGGGCCCCGCGGCCTCCCCTGCCCCGCAGTGAGGTAGGGGCGCGGGGCCCGCACCCCCCAGCCCCGTTGTCCCGGGGGAGGGGGGCGCCCGGCGGGGTCCAGGGGCGGTTGCGGGGGCGCGGGGCGGGGGGAGCTGGGCCCGGGGCTCCCGCGGCAGCCACCGCCTCCCGCTCGGGCTCCGCTCGGGCTCCGCTCGGGCTCCGCGCGGGCCGGGCTCCGCCGCGGGGCTGACGCGCGGCTCTCCCGGCGCAGGATGGGCATCGCGGGGCTGCTGCCCTTCCTCAAGGAGGCGGCCGAGCCGTGCCACGTGAGGCGGTACCGCGGGCAGGCCGTGGCCGTGGACACCTACTGCTGGCTGCACAAGGGCGCGTACGCGTGCGCGGAGCGGCTGGCGCGCGGCGAGCCCACGGACCTGTGAGTGCGCGCGGGCCGCGGCCTCCGCCGCCGGGACCCCCTTCCCCCCCTTCCCTGCCTTTCCCTCCCTTTTCCCTCCCTTTCCCTCCCTTTTCCCTCCCTTTCCCGCCTTCCCCTCTCTCCTTCCCCTTCCCTATTGTCTCTGCATTCACCCTTCTAGTTGTTGTGCTCCTTGGAAATGAAAACATTGACTAAATAAAAATATTGCCAACTGTGCCAAGTTAATGTGAGAGGAAGTTGCTGGAGAAGCCTATGCTTTATTATTATTATTATTATTATTTTTATTATTATTATTATTATTATTATTTATTTATTCTATTAATCCACCAGTGGTTTGCCAGCTATTTTTTTGTTTCCAGCATGTCACTCTCCCAGTAATAATGTACCCTCCCTGGTGGGATCCCACAGCTGGAGCTCGCGCGCTCCGGGTGTAGTATTTGCAGCCAGAGCCTTGTGCCCAGTGCCAGCCCGTGAGCGGGGCTGCGCCCCACAAGCGCCTCGCCGCCCCACAAGCGCCTCGCCCTGCTGAGGCCTCCCGGTACTCCGGGCTCTGCGTGAGGTGCCCTGCAGGGATTTTCTTTGCTCGATCTGATATGTTTTAGTAACAGGGCTTTTTTTTCCCYCCCCCTAATGCAKTCTGCAATTTCACTTAGCAGTATTGTTATATTGGGATGGATATGAACACAAAGTGTGGTCATAATTCCCTTCTAGYTCTAGAACTTAGGTGAGGCCTGTGTAAGTTTCAAAAAAATGGCATGAGCTCTTGGGWTTTTTTTTCTTTTTTTTCTTTTTTTAATGAAAATGAACCTTTTGACTTTYGAGAGAAACTTCGAAGCCTAAGCTGTATAGCAAACTCAAACTGAATTCTACATGACTTCTTATTTCACTTTATGTAGAAGAGTAATCTGTCCAGTATTTGAATTCAGAAATGAAACATTCTATTTTTTTAAAAAATGTTTTTATTCTTCTTGTGGTGCTGGAGCAAGTACCTCATAATAGGTCCCATTTGTCCTTTCTGCAAATACAACATATGCAACCGACTTCAAAAATAAACGTTACTGCTAAACACTTGTTTTTATTGTTGCCAATACAGTTATGTAACTTTCTGCATGAAACTTGTTGATATGCTCCTGTCATTTGGAATTAAACCAATTTTGGTGTTTGATGGATGCACCCTACCTTCAAAAAAGGAAGTGGAAAAGGCCCGAAGAGAGTAAGTACTGAAGTGTGTTAATTTGCAAACAAGGCAGCGTGTTTAACACCTCAGCTCATTTTCAAAATGCTGAAAAACTTGATGCTTCAGTGAGGCAGTAATCTGTGTTAAACTTTCTTACAATGTGTTGCTATGTTATTTCATTCACATTTAAATAATACAAACTGTTCTTAGATGTTTTATTCCAAAAATAGAACAGCACTTCATAAATGAAAGGAAGAGGAAGGAAGTAAACCTCTGAGAATTAGTTCCTGTAGCGTGTAGAATTAAATGTTTTCAGCTGACATGTCCTCATGATCCACCTCTTTGTCTGGGCTTTTGTGTCTTTTCTGGACACAAAAGGTATTTCTTCCCATTATAGTTAAATTAACACCATCTTCTTTGGTTTAGGACTTGTTTATAACGGGGCATCTCATGAAGCTGACTGACAATTTTTTTATTAAAGTATTTTTGTTTGTAAGATGTCTTCTTCAGGCTGCAGTGAACAATTTCTGATAATGTGAAATGAGGTGAATTACGTGAAAGCCAATATCTGATGTCAAACGCTCCTAGATTAATTTAAATCTCTTTTCCTCTATCCTGAGAATTCACATCTYTCATTGCTGATTTCTCTTGTTGAATTGTAGCTTTTCTCTGATTATCTATTTCAATATGCCAGTCCAAGCCTCCCTTGGGATTTACAGTTATTMTTATAGTTTGTCAAGTGTTTGAAGCGTTCATTGGTTAAACTTCTTTCTTTTAAAACACTCTCTTAGTCTGAGGTAGGATATTTTTGTTAATCCYGCAGGAAGCGTCAAGCCAATCTTCTGAAAGGGAAACAGCTACTTCGTGAGGGAAAACTGGCAGAAGCCAAGGAATGTTTTGGGCGCAGTGTGAATGTTACCCATGATATGGCTCGTGAAGTTATTAAAGTAAGTTGCTAATGTTCAGATCAACAGTTTTAAGAAAATACGTGATAAGGATTTCTTTCTTTATGCCTTCAATAAGTAGTATTTTCTACATTTGCTTGGCCTAAAAATGTGTTGCTTACCATGAATTATGTTAAGCACAATTCACTTATCTATGGATTTGCTATGTCCAGTGACCATCTGTAATTTATGCAAGTAAGGTCATAACCTGATTTTTTTTTTTTTGTCATCCGAGGTTTTGCTTTTGCCATGTGAGAAATAAATACAGATAAATACAGCATCCTTTTTTTTTTTTTTTTTTTCTACAAGGCAGTTTCCTGTAGAAACCATAGACCATAGAAAAATTATTGACTGCTTAAAAGCCTTTCTAGCAACTCTTCCCTACCCTTCTGCTGCAGTCATAGTGTCTCTAACAAAACAAAATTACATCTGTTCCAGTGTCATTTTTTTTTCTTTGCTCAGCATATAACTGACAGGAGCCTGAAGCTGACAACTGTAGTCAGATGCAGTGTCTGTAGACTTAGACTAGCACAGAAAAGGTGTCTTTTTGTGAGCAAATATTTGTAGACTTGCACTACTACAAACTTTAGGCCATGAATGTGAAGTTGTTTAAGGGGAGCCATATTGACCTCTTTGATAATTTTGTGGTGAAAAGCACAGAGTTTAAGTTGAATTGTTCTGAAGTAGAAGTTCTCTTCAAATGTTTGAAGATAATAGTGTTTTTTTTTTTTTTTAATGTTTCTATGCCTCTTGCTCATATGCAGGCTGCACGAACCCAAGGAATTGATTGTATTGTTGCTCCTTACGAAGCTGATGCTCAGTTGGCTTATCTTAATAAGACTGGCATGGTTCAAGCCATAATTACAGAAGATTCTGATCTTTTAGCTTTTGGATGTAAAAAGGTATGGAAGAAAATACAAATGTCCCCAAACCCTCACTGATATTGTAAAAGCAGGTTTCAAAGTTGCTTTGTGCTGGATGGTTTATTCTTCTCTAATATATAAGGAAAACTGGGAAAAGTGACACTTAGCCTCTGTGAAGTAACCTCTGCGAAATGCAGCAAATTAACATGTATAAATGTAAAGAAGAGTTTATAATGTGAGTGAAAATGATTATTTTTACTTTTTTTCATTTCCAGGTGTTTCTGAAAATTGACAAGTTCGGAAATGGACTAGAGATAGATCAGTCTCGACTAGGAAACTGCAAGCAACTTGGAAACGTGTTTACCGAAGAGAAATTCCGCTACATGTGCATTCTCTCCGGCTGTGACTACCTCCCATCAATTCATGGAATCGGGTTAGCTAAAGCGTGCAAGTTACTCAAGCTAGCTAACAACCCAGATATTATAAAGGTAATTTTCATTCAGCCTGGTGTATTGCCTTTTTAGGAGCTTCTATCTATTTATCTATGTGAGAATAACATTTTGTGTGAAAACATCTGAACAATTTTTAGCGTCTCCTCGAAGTGGAGAAAACTTAAGTAAGCAATTGAAGTAAGCTACTTAAAGAAGCAAACTTCTCAAGCATTTACTGTGCTTGAGAAAGCTGCTGAGCTAAATTTATCCGCATGTTGAAGCTATTATGTTTAATAAGATACAGCAAAGTAAGTTTAGATAAACAATTTAACTTATCCTCCAAGAGCCTATTCTATTCAATGAGTTCAGTTAGAATTCATGAAAGTCAAAAGAGAACTTCTTTTTCCCATTCTACCTGTTTTTTTTTTCTTAATTTTTTACTTAATTTTTTGAGCAAAGCTTCAAGATTTCATCATTTGAACAGCTTATTTAGTAATTGTYATGTGATTCATCTCTGCTGTGCAAGTGTTAGGAAGTCCTGAGTCAAAAGGTAAAAACTATTTCATCAGTGCCAGTCAGAAGTTCTGAGAGCAGTAAATTGCCTTGGAGTTAGGACACATTGCTGAAATGAAGCTGATGTTTTAGCAACTCATGTCCTATTTTAAGAAGAGGACACATTGTGTCCATCAGTATAACAAGGTTACTCCTCAAAAGGAGATGCTCCTTATTTCTATTCAGATTTTGTCTTTATCTGTTGTGCAAAAACTCCTTGTGAAAAGTTGAATTATACTCCTTACGTGACATTAAGCAATTTGAAGGTGGGAAAGCAATGCGCAGGACTTCTCTTCCCCTTCCCCTTTCTCCACCTCTAATGAGTGCATGTTCTGTATCATCTGACAAATGCTTAAGATTTATGTCAAAGATGCTTAAGAATTAAACAAAAAAGTAAAGTTATTTTATGTTACTTTTCTGGGGAGGCTGTTGTGTATTCCTTCTCTTCACTCTGCTAAAAGCAAAGTTTGTATAATTAAAAATCTGAAGATTTTTGGAGTGATGCTTCTGAAGACAGGCATGGCATTGTTTTTATCTATTTAAATTCAACAATTACAGCAATTAAGCTTGTCTTTTGTCCTTGAACAGGTTATTAAGAAAATGGGTCAATACTTGAAGATGAATATAACAATACCGGAAGAATACATAAAAGGTTTTACACGAGCTAATAATACATTCCTTTATCAGTTAGTTTTTGATCCAGTCAACAGAAAACTAGTTCCTCTGAATGCCTACGATGATGATATCGACCCAGAAACACTAATTTATGCAGGACGGTATCCTTTCTGTATTAAAATAATGGGGGAAAATATGGGTGAGCAGCTGTAGTGCTTTACCCTGTTCCCCTGCATTCCCCTGCATCCATTTCTGTTATTGGTTAAAATCTGTCTTTCCACTTCATTTTTAAAAAGCTAGGTGGAACGGAACGATAAGAAAGACCTATCACTTAAGTAGAAATATCTGTTTATTTTTTAGAAAACAATCTTTCAAGTGTAGGTTATATAGCTATTGAATTGTTTTAAAACATCGGTCAAAATTTATCGTGACATTGTCCGTGTCGTGATCTGAGCTGGTTCAATTCTCATAGTCAGCGCTCAGCTCGTTGTTTCACCTAAGAGCTCCCTATTTTTTTACCAGAACTTTTTCTAATAGAACATGTAATGTTGTYACGTGTTTGTATAGTCTGTTATCATCATGGAAGATTAGGAAAATGAGGAAAGAGAGAGGACTATTGAAAGAGATACCAGCCTGTCTATATTTTTGAAGCTATGGCATTTTCACAAGTTAAGAAGGGGATAGAGACGTAAATCTTCTTACTGATGACTGAAAGTTTTCCATGATGCTTCTATGATATGCCAAACCTTACAGATCTAGTATAATTCTTATTGCATGATATCTATCCATGAGTAGTAGTATGCATCTCTCTCTTTTAGTTAATATTCTAGTAGTGCCTTTTAACACAAAAACGGGAAATGACATTTTCAAGCTGTTGTTCTTGCAGTTTAATCTGTAATCAGATATTTTCCCTTAACGCGATCGGGACAGACATTTTGGTGATGTTACTGCTCTTCAAATTGCTATTGGTAATGTTGATATCAACACAATGGAACAAATTGATGATTACAATCCTGACACTGCCCAGGTAATTTTTTTTCTAAAGTAATATAGCAAGACGCTGATATGTCTGACTGGGTTCTGGGAAAACACTGCTACATGTTCTCCTCAACTGAACTGGCAATGAAAGCTATTATACTATTACAAAACGGTATGCAAATAAATATAAAGAAGGTCAAAGAAAAACCCAAGGTAAAAACTTTTATTCTGATCATAGGTAAAGGGTTAATACTTCAGAAAACATTTTTTTGTATTCTGAAATACATGACACCTAGCCTGTTAATTTTTGTAGCATCTTTAAGACTCTCCAGGTATTAATTGTAATGCCTTTTAAAAGACTGTGAATTTTTGGTTTACTAAAGAGAGTGCCAGGTGAGGTTTCGTTCTGTCAGTTTTGCAAGCTCCTGTCCAGGAAAACTCTCTCACATTAAGTGAATTGTCCCAAAGGAATTCAAAAAYTGAAATCTAAAGTTAGTACTTTTTAAAAAACTTTGTTATATCTGTAATTGTCGTTTAAAGAATGCTGAAAATTCAAAATTGTTGGAAAAAGGTGTGCTTTTAGAATTAGTTACTATCTGTTTTTACTTGCCTTTTAATTGCTTCTATAACTATAGTTCTGCACTTCAACTGAAATAATGGATATTGGTCTTTGGGTTGTTAAGTTAATTTTGACAGTAGGGCAAGACTGAGTGTAGTAGCATTTATATCCTGTTTCTTATAGCTTTTCACTTTGCTTTAAATTCTCTGCAATTTCTGAAAACTGTGAGCAGTTGAGCACTCTGGACTAAGTAGTCTTTGAGCCTCAAGTAAGGGCTCTTTGCATCTAGGAGAGGAACAGAAATGATTTGGTAGTGATTTGAGTAATTCTGATTACTTTTGAGCAAACATGAGGAAACAATCTTTTTAAAGTATATCACATGCACCACCTAGATTGGGTATTTATCTACATGAATTTGAAGGTTCTTAAGTTCTTTGTTTTTTCTTTGTCCGGTGCTGGAAGAAAAAATATTACTGGAGATACTCGCATGATATAATATGAAGCTTGAGGGACTTTTTCTCCTTCTCTCCCYTTAATACATTTGTTGACAGTGAAAGACTTGAACTTACATATCATGGCTAAGTGTTATCTACATAGMCAAAGAGGATCACTTTAGGTGACCTGTGACTTACAAAAATATACGTCTCTTCACAAGTAAAAGCCTTACTTTTCAAGTCACTTACCTTTAATGTTTTGTTTCCTTTCAGACTTTCTTGAGAAGCCCTGAAGGACTATTCACAGAGATAACTAAATATAAACAAAAAAATGCATTTATACAGTTCTTATATATAGCTGAAGAAAGTATTTCCCTGAATTAGGGATTTTGAACAGATAAAAATTAACCTTTTAAAGTTGTCTTGGGTTAGCGATTTAATCGAATAAACTCATTGCAGACGAAAAGAAAAATAATCTGTGTGGAAAGCATGAGAAATGTGGGAACTAGAAGGAAATGTTCATGTTGAGTAGTTGTATTAGCTCTTGCTGTGCAAATGCAAAAATATCCTTATATGCTAAATTGTGAAACTAGGTAGAAGGCAAAATTRTTCAACTGATGTCTTGCTTCTGTTTCTTCTGTATCTTATGCAGCAGAGAAGTCGTGGCTGGAACGATGATGCTACAAACCAAAGAAATAGTATTTGGAGCAGAGACTATAGAYTTGGCTCTAACACAGATGCTGTTCCACACAAAATGCATTTACCAGAGAAAGTAACAACCAAAGGCACTGAGAAGATAATTAGTATCAAAGGGTTGAAACTTTCAGGCAAAGAGCTCTCAGCAAAAAGGCCAAGAAGTGGTATGTTTGTCTGAAGAGAATTAACGTGGAAGAGGGTGATGGGAAAGCTCTTGTCTTTGGCTTAATAGAAGTAGAGTTAGGCTTCTCAGCCTCTCACCTAGGTCTTTGTGTACGTGTTCTCCACAAGCTGCAAGGCTGCAGAGCCACAATTAAAGCCTGTATAACAATTTCATGTTTGTCAGCAAACTTACAGCAATGTCTGTTTTACTTTTATTGGTTATAAAAACTTTTCCTTTCTGATTGTTGACTTTTTAATTTAATTTGCTCTGTTTTTAGATATTCTTGATACCTATTTTATGGTGGCTTATGAAGAATTGAAATAGTCTGTCYTCTATAGAATAAGACTTGGACAGACACATTTGCAAGAACACTTTCTGTACCCTTCTGCAGCCTGTGTCCCATGCCAGGGTACTCCTCAGTCTGGCTTTCTTGAGGTCTCTTAGATCTGTGCTATCCTGCATGTGCTACGTTACCTAAGTGATGTGCTGCAATAACATATAGGCTTCTAATAAAAAGGTCACTTCTTTGTTCCTATTAGGAACTAATCATTTTATCATATATTGTCATATGTGATAAGTACTTTCTCTACTTCCTCTCTTTCTGACTAAGCTGCCAGGTTTCCCTTTTTGCCTTTGATATTCCTGATATTCCTAGTCCTTGGTTTATCAAAATTTGTATTTGGCTTACTATTTTTATGCTTCATATTTACTTTCAAAGTGCTGTAGCATGATTCTGCACTTCTTTTTTCCTGTCTCTTTAATTCTCATCTGTTACCTTTCACTCCACTTACCTCTTCACAGAAAGTAASTTTCAGGCTATGTACTAGAAAAGAATTGTGCTAAAAGATGAGAGATGTAACATTTAGAATGTCCCTGTTACATGTTACCAATATTTYAAAGCCTGTGAGGATAAGCATGAAATATTCAGTTCTTTCACAGCTGGTACTGAACAGTCTAGAGCATACTCCTACAGTGATGTCTAAATTGTCCTTAGATTTAGAAGAACTCTCAGATGGAGACCTGCTGAGCCAATATTCATTTTCAAAAGCCAAAAAAGCCAGGAAGGAGAGTGCTGAAGACTGTGAACCGCAAAAATGTGTCTTTGCAAGGCAAAGCACTGAATCCTCAGAGAATCCTATCCTTGAAGAAAGCTCTAACTCCCTGCCCAGAGTTAGAAATAAATTTGCTTCCTTCCTGCAAAGAAAAAACAGAGAGCGAGATGCAGTGGTTGTTCCAGGAACAAGAAGCAGGTAGGTTGGCATCACTTTCTTTTAAGTACCAAAATAGTATTAAATATAGTGAGTGTACAATAGTTTATTTTCACTAGTGGTTTGTGGTATAGATGCATACGATTGGGCAACAAATCATTGGAAAACTATTTAGGTGATATTTTATCTTGTGACTGAAGAGTTTAAGCTCGGATTTTACTTTGTTTTCTGTGAGGTCAATCATTTGTCCTCACAAGCTGAGCTGTGCACTGACTAAGCTTGTATTACTCAGCTGTTGCTGAGTTTACTTACCTGTGGGCATTTTTTGTCACCTGGAAAGTGAGTGAAATGTAGAAAGCAGGCTTTTTTGCCTGCATATAGCTAAGATCTTCCTGGCCCTGCCGTAACCGAGGACTTTGAGATGAATTTTATTGTCTTTTAGTCCTCTTTTTCAAAGTTGAGTGGAATTAGCTAGAAATTAGCTGGGAATTGGTGACACTTCTTCCAGGAAAACATCACGCGAAGTCTCTCAAAAGAGCCTCTGATTTGTGCTGAACATGTGAATATGGAAGTAGTTATGATACTTATGAATATGCCCCATTTGAGCTTTATCTGACTTGGGTAGATTTTGTTTGTTTCGATTAAAGCCAAATCTTGGTCWTACAGTATACCAAATATCTATTTTCTTTTTCTTATCACATCTCATCCAGTTTTTGCACTTGATATCTGTAGTCAGCACTTTGGGAACCAGGATGTTATGCTTGTCMAGACTACAAAAGCAAGAATTTTTTTGTGACATTTGACCACAGATAGTTACTTTTGCAAATGATTATTACACTACTATGTCTTCTATTGTATACTTTTTATCATAAGCACCCTGAATATTAGAAATTTTTGAGAACTATCATTTTACAGAAAAGTCTCTGATGCTGTTTAGCTCGGGAAAGTGCAAGCGAAAGCTGAGAGTTCGTTACGTTGCAAGAGTTGTCAGTGATGGTTGCATTTTCTGCAAAACAGTGCACAGTTTCATAAAAACTTTGTTTTGTAACTGCTCCTACGGACTGCTGCTGTATTCTGGAAAGAACTGGACAGCGTCTTATTTTCCTTGTTGAAAAGCACTGAAGGGTTCCATAACAATTTAGCTTTTTGAAAATTAATGAATATGCCCTAGCATTCTATAGAATTCCCAGATGCTTCTGTCTTTCAATGAAAAATTTATTAATATTTTCAGGCAATGGCTGATGTAATTACCAGTGGTCTTCCCTCTGAAATATAAAATGGCTTTGCTGTTGTTATGTTTTAAAGTTTATTGCCTCTATGATAGTCCAGAGAATTAAGACCTTAGTGGCTTGCCCATTGTCAAAACAATCTGTGTCTGCAAGAGAAGTTCAAAAATCTATCTGATGGGTACAAAATTATTATTGAATTTTGGAGATGAAATACTGGCACTTTTTTTTCTCTCTTCATCTATATCATGCTTTTCTTTTTAGATTTTTCTGCAATGCTACAGATACACTTGATTTTCAATCAAAGTCAGATGATGGCCAGCTCTCTCAAGATGTGGACAGGGATTGCCAGGAAAAGGAAATAAAACTTGTAGAGGAAAAAGTTTCTCCGTTTTCAGAAACTGAAAAACCTCCACGGACTACTTTCTCCCTTCCTGGAGAAACACAGAGAAGTTGCTTCCAGTGGTTTGGTAGCCTTGAAAGGGCTTCAGCAAATCCTGGTCCATCTCATGCTGCATTATCACYGCAGCTTCCCCAACAGCAAGGCGACTACATGGCATCCCAGGAAGATGAGATAAATAAGTTGCAAACAGGTAGTGGGGCACCGTGCGGTGAAGGATCTTCTCCCATAACAGACCTGGAATGTTCCTCACAGTCTCAGGTGTCTTGCAAGCTCTCAGAAAGCRGTTTGGAATTTTCAAAAGTGTCACAAGTATCTAACAATTCACCTGCAGAGGTAAGAAAATGCCCCTGTTTCAGCATTTGCTTTCACCTTTCACTACCTAATTAGTCATCAAAGTCTCCCTTTTAAGTGATATCCTGCAGATAAGAGAACTTCTAACAAAACATAACTATATTTAGTATAGCCATGTAGCATGAATTGATTTGCTAGCTTAAAATCAGTCTGTTCCTGTTTGCAGTTTCTACTGACAGCAGTTGGAAAGACTGAAAACAACGGGTTGCATCAAAACTGGTAGCCTAACTTTGTTCTCATGCTTTTTGGTTATGTTTACAGAAATATTGAGAACACTGTATATTCTAAATGTAAAGATAAAAGAGTTTTTACATTATAATATTTTATAAGATCAACTGACTTTTTTTTTTCCTTCATGAAGGAATCTGACTTCAGTCTGAAACTAGGTGATAGTCCAGGTACTCAGACCTCTCCAGTATTTTCTGCTGTACGCATTGATAAAAAGAATATGCTCCCAAAGGCCAAGGTAAGAATTTCTTTAATATTAGGTCTGAGATCTGTTGAACAATGAAAATCAGTATTTGTGTTTCCTTTGGTTTTGCTTAGTTATGCTAGCTCACTCTAAGCTTATAATGGAAGAATCTTAAGCATGTGCATRTGTTGACAAGAAAGAATATTACTTTCTTGTTCATCTGCTTTGAAATTAAAATGGACCTTAACCTGCTATGGTTAAGGTTGCATGGTTGCAGCTTGCCTTGGMATTTTCTAAATTCAGTGTAAATTCATGAAACCAGGCTAAAGCCAAAAACTACTTGTAAATTTTTCCGCCAGTTTTGCTGTCTTTTCTTCTTTGAATGGAAAAACAACATTTAAACTTCTAAAGCAGGAGCAGTTTTAATCAGTCTTTCATTTAAGTTGCTCTAGTCCCAAGCTTTGTTAGACCCTAGAGAGCTGCGTGGAAGAACTRTCGGTTTCCTTCAGAGCTCTCCTTTCAGTCAGATCCCTCTTCCTGTGGGTCGGGCTCGTCTTCTCCGTGCTTTCTGAGTCGTCTAGGAATGACTGAACTCACGCCACGTTCCCTGTCACTGTGAAAATGGCAAGAGCTCTACCAACCTGTCTAGTTCACTAAAAAAGAGGAGGAAGCTAAAAAGCTGAAGCTTTTCTGTCAGAACAGAACCCCATGTGTTCTACAAAACAATAGTGACCTCTTCTGGTTGTCTTAACTTTCACRTTAAGAAGCTGGAATTTGAACTGTGTTCTTTAATAACTGGACTATTGCTACCTATTTGCAAGTCTGTGCTTTTTCATTAGAATTGCATTTGTGTGGTACTCTTCAAGAAGACTAGACAATTAACTGAAGTCAAACTGGAGKTCAGGACTGTATGAATTTCTGCTTAAGAAGTTGTTTAATATATTTTGATTCAAAAATAATTTCTTAGCTCAAGTGTTTTTGTGTAAAAATACATACGAAACATAGGGGAATACACAATATAAAGGCAAAGTAAGCAACTTATGTAAACAAACCTTCAGGATGCTTGGACCTCTTCAGAGTACATAAATGTGCTGAAAATTCACTCGTAACAAGGGCTGTGAAAACAGGTTTGCTTAAAGTGGGCTGCTGGCAGGAGGCTTCTGCACACTCGCTTCTTGGGCCTCGCACCCCCTCTCCTCCCTGTGTGTGCGGGCAGCAGAACTCRTGGTGGGCTGGACCAGGACCTCCTGTGGCCAAAAACTGACCTGACAACAGCAGCAGGTGCCTCGGGTACATCATAACCCAGATGGCTAAGATCTGTAACTCAGTTATATGTCATAACTCAGCCTACCCAGGCTCCAGTGGTCTCTTAGTTCTGGCACCAGAGAAACCGTGGGAGCAAGTAGTCAATGCTGAGTATGTGTGGCTGGGGGCAAGATGGGAGAAGGAAGAAATTTCTGGAAGAAATTCCAGAAGGCAAGAAGGCATCCACAATGTGCCAGTATTGGAAGGGGGGAGAATATTGATCTGGGCAGCTACATACCAGTTAGTCTATAAGACTCCAGGGATATAAGAAATTCAGGTTGGGGATGAGAGCATGAAAYGCAAAATCACACTGGCTAGACTAATTACCTAATGGGATTAGGTCATGTCAGAACACTTCTGTGTGCGTGTCGATGTCAAGTAGATTCAGTGGTTGGAAACTGCTATGCAAATTTTTAGACATTTTTAGTTGTAGAGATAGTTAATACCTAGAATAAAATTAGTGAAGCAGCGTTTAACTGATGTCTTCAAAKCTGAGATAGGTTGCCCTTCTAGAAGTCTGTTTGTAACTGCTTTGGCTTTCAGAAGGAAATTGTGTGATAACAAATTCCAAGTAGAGATCCAGTGATCCATAGGGTGACTGTACTGGTCTTCTTGGTTTTGTTTAGCTTTGGGAAGCATGGAGTCCTTTGCCGTAGCAGGTTCTCTAAAATTTCTGGAAAATGATACTGAAGAGTTTTGTTGTACTTGGTCACGTAAGCGAATGAGGAAAAATATTCAAGGGATAAAAAAAATTGCTTTGAAAAGGCAAGTGCTTTTATAATCACCTCTGATTGCAAGGATGCACAGAAGCTGATTTAGCAATTCCCACTGATTATAGAAAATTCAGTTGTGTGACAAGGAGCTGCTTAGATTAAAGGTATATAATTGCGCACTGTTGTGACCTCAAACCGCACTGGGTGTGAAAAAATTTACTTTTGGTCATATGCTTTCCAGAGCAGCATTTATGTTATTGCAGGTTGTCATTTATCCACTGTGTAATGTACTATTAAAATCTTGCAGGTTCCTGGTCTACGCAGATCCAGTTCTGTAGGGTCACGTATTGTGACGAAGCTCAAGCCATTGATACCAGCTAAAGTAAGTGGATTAAGCAAGAAACTATCACCTGTGCAGAGGAGAAATCACTGTGATATTGAAAATAAGGTGGGACTGCAAGCCACCATTAGTGACCTCTGGAAGAACTTCCAGTTTAAGAGGTGAGTTGCTTTAACCTCCTCTATTAAGCTCTTGGCTTCCTCCTCTTCGCCACCCCTCCCCATCGCTCCTCCTTCCTCCTTTGTCTGATCTGGGAAGTGCAGCTGGGCTTTCCCCCTTTCCTTGCTGTTCCGTCAGTACCGGTTTAGAGAGAAAAGATGAACACAAGGGAGAATTTTCACTTCACAAAAAAAAAAAAAAAGAAAAGAAAAGAAAAATGTTGTGTGTTCTATTTTTATATAAGTAATCTATATATTGATTCCTGTGAGATGGAACAGCCTCTTACCAATAGCTTAGTTTTGCATTTTCCATACTGTATGGTGTGCTGGCTTGCACTGAGAGCAATGAGGCTGTTCATGTAATGTCCTGTTTTCCCTCTGCCAGCACTGCTCTAAGAAACACTTTAAATGTTAAACTCTGTACAGGTCCCCACTGTGTTGAAAAGAGATCTTTACGTAATTCAGCTAAGCACCAAATTACTGAATTTCTCTATTGGCCTGGTGAATGTAAGCACCCTGTAAATTAGGGTCTTATTTCAAAGCAGTCTCTGTAGATGTTTCCTGTGCACAACTAACACCCTAAAAGATTAAAGAAGGCTATGAAGAAAAATTGATATCATGAACAATTTCACTTTCTTTGTTGTTTGACATAACATAGTTATGTGACAAATACACTTTTCACTTGTAGTTAATTTTTTCTTTTGAACCAGGGAATAGTCTCAGCTAAAATATATTTAAGTATTTTATTTTTAACATAGTTTATGTAAAATGATTGTCATTACGTTTTATATTACGTACAAGATTTTAGTTGTTTTTTAAATTTTCACAAATGTGGAAAGCATGCATGACAGATTATCAGATATGTTCTGCCTCTAGAAATAATGAGGGTTAATTAATGGAATATTTGTTAGCTAAAGTCTTTGAGACATCGTTTTTCACATCATAAAAAGCCTTTTTTTTTTCTATTGTGTGTACAGATAGTCCTTCAAGTTTAAACCTCAAAGAGTCTTTCAGAAAGCTTTAAGTTAGCCAATGATCTGCTTTTTATTTCAAAGAAACAGGTATATGTGTATTTTGACTTGCACTGTTTCTGCTTGGGCTGGGATAAAAGCACATGGTGGCAAAGCTCTTTCAGAGAGAAACACTTTCAGAGAGCAGGTGACAGCATTTGAGTGTTCTGTCTTGTTGTCTTGTTAGGAATGTCTGAGCAGGGTTGCTCAGATGGAGGCCACCCCTGTGCTTTGATGTTTCCAAGCACAGGCATACGGGGCAGAGCGGAGATGGTGCCACGTTCCTTTTCTCTGCTGATGGCTCCAAGGCTTTGCTCCCAACAAYAATGGCAGCAAATCCATCCAATATTTGCTGCACTATGGTTGTTGAATATACTTATTTTTACATAATTAAAGCAGTTGCTTATTAGCTCTTAGGGGATTTTTTTTCCCTTGATTTGTTTCACAAAAGGATTTTTCTTATTGCCACGGTTTGCTTAGCTCTGATGTTCTGCTGGRCAGCCCCTATCTCCTGCATTTCTGATGCTGAGCTAGTAGCTCTCTGTTGTTCACAGACAGTATGGAACTGGAACTGGAACAGAGTTGAGGTAAACTTCTAAGTTATTCAGCAGTAGTGAAGCTGGGTTTGGAACTTGCCACCAGGGTGTTTATTTGGGGCTTATTCAGAGGAGTGGGTAGTTAGATGAGGGCCCTTGTTCTGTTTTAACCCATGTGTTCTTACAGGTCTGCAACTAAACACACAAAATTGACACATCCCTATGGGATTTCTGTTTGTTTTTGTATGTATGTGTGCAGAGATTATGAAAAACTGCCATCCTGTAAAAAGTCAGACCCGTTGTCTCCAATCAAAGATAACATTCAGCTCACTCCAGAAACGGAGGAAGAAATCTTCAATCACCTCGAACACAGTCATGTTCAGAGAGCTATTTTCCAATGAACTGTGTGCAGCCATAAACAAGAGGATGCATTTTTAATCAATATTGAAATTTAYCTTCTGTATCTCCCATCAAAAGAGACTTTGAAAATCACCTGTATATTTTAGTCTGACTACTAATGTGTCTCTTTTTTATGAAACTGTGAACTGAAGTACAGWTTTGTATGGCCTGGAATAAAAACCTTCTCATGTCTGCATTCTCTCATTCAAAGTCCTATACTAATCTTCTGTTCAAACCGTTTTCTAAGTTGCCCCTGACAATTTTATAGAAGTTATATTTGTGAAACTTATGCAAAGGCAAAGCCATTTTAATGTAACAACGCTAAAGCAGGGTATTTTAACTGTTAAAAAATTATCAAGTCCAAGAGGGAGGATAAAAGGGGCAAGAAAATGTTTTTTTTGTCTTTTGATACTGTCTCCAACACACAAGAAAAGCTGCAGATGGCTCTTCCTGTCTTCACTATTCTTCCTGCACTTTTGTAACATTTTTTTTTTTTAAGGTAAGATATTCTGCTAGCTTTCTATTTTCTTCTACAGAACACAAGCATAAAAAATGGGAGGAGAGAAGCAGAGAAAAAGAAATGGGAGAGGGAGACGTGGGGGATCAAGAGGGAGAGTTTAGTTAGAAAGCAGCAATTTTAAAGTGGGAGGTTATGAGGGTGGTTGAGTGCATGGAGCGAGTGGGTAGGAGGAAAACAGCACACGGATATATCTCTATTCTTTCAGTAGAACATGATTTTTAATATTCTAATTCTGTGTATATTAACATAGAATATTATATATATTATTATATCAACAGGATTTTAAAGTGTTCTTACAAGACAGATGGTATTATTATAATAGCCTGTTATTAAAATGATGAATCTAGCCTGGAAATGTTAATTCTACTAAYGGTGATCTAATCTGACTTCACTTTGAAAAGTGCTGACTACACGTTCCTCCAGCAAAAATATGATGTGAAGTACAAATGTTCAGAAGCAGAGAATACGTATCAGTCTCTAAGCATCCAAATCAACTGGTGTTTTTGGAAGCAGGTAAGTAATTTGCCCAGATTTCACTGAGTCTTCCTATTTGACTCTTTGCTGTCATTTCAGCAAGCTGATAATATCCTTATTCCCCTCTTGTGCATCAATGTAGTAGTAGGAATCATTTTTGTAGTACAAAAAAAAAAAAAAATATATATATATATATATAAAAATAGACTACAAGGGTTTGCAAATAGGTTGTAAAGCCATATTTCAAAAAGCATTTTTATGCGATTTGCAGTATTACAAATTTTTAAATATTAGCAGATACTGTTCCTTTGAGGTATCAAAAGAACATGGTATTCTGATTTTATGCAGCAGTTAATGGGATTTGGGCTTTTTGTTAACAAAAGGTCACTGGATTCTGAGGTTCTGAAGCTCTGGGACTGTTCTTTGACATTAAAGATCAGCTAAAGATCATCTCCTTTTTCATTACATGGTATTCTTATCAGTGTAACTAAATATATATTTATATTTGTGTTTTTGACTGTTTTTTGTCCTTCTATCTTTGTATTTCTCCTACAGCACTTTCGTGTACAAGTGATAGGATACTAAATTAGAGTTATTGATGCAGGAGGGAGGAAAAGGAGGGAAATGTCTTTCTGAACAGTAGAGGTCACTTTATACTGCTAAGAGTCTTGTATTTGGCTGCAGTAACCTAGAATCTGTCTAGAATTTACTATCCTATAGCTCTCCTGCGGCCTTTGTTGTTGAATTTTTTGGAGTCTTGAAATGAAGTGAGGGAGTGTCAGAATGTTTTATTACTTTTGGATAAGTATTGCAGAAATAGTTTCAAGAGGCTTCAAAAGAGCTTTAAAGTGGTAGCAAGAGGGGGAGAGAAGGAAGGGGGAAGTGAGACTTAAAACAGTCGCTGAATTTGTTAACCCAAAAGCACTATGTAGCTATAGGTGTAGCACGGCCTCCTCTTCAATTATTGCATTTCTTGCCAGGGTGGATAGATCTAAGTTCCCATAAAGAACAGCTTTCACAAAGTCCCCTCTCTTGTATGATCTAGGTGATTTGCTTTAGAAAWTAAGGATTTGATCCAAGACATCAAAAATAAGTCGTGTCAAAAATCCTGGGAAGCAACTCTAGGTGATGAGGTGTTAGATAGAGGCCTCCATCTTACTTTTCCACTGACATTTGCAAGTTGCACCAAATTCCTCGTCCCTGTGACATTTCCAAGTCATGGCTCAGGGTGGGCAGGGAGCGCAGCACAGGGCAGCGTGTGCCTCCGTACCCTGCGTTGTGCCCACACGGCAAAGTAGCCCTGTCCGGCTGGAGAAAACTTGGAGGCAACCGAGAGGAGACGAGGAAAGCTGCGAGAGCAGAAGGTGCCTTGAAAAAGAAAGCAGTAGAGGAGGGTCGATACCAAAACATAAACTACTCTGTGGAGCTGCACTGYGACAGTGTTGGAAATCAGGTGAGGTGGAGAATGTTCTTTCAGGCTGGGGTAGATAAACCCCTGAATACTTCTGAAGAGCTGCTTGAGATTTCTGCTTCTCTTTGGGCAACCTGTTTGTCTTTCATTCAAAGTAAATATACTCGTGAAAGGATTGCCCTGCTTTATGTGTTTGCTCAGCAGGGTCACTTGCATAGGCAGGATTCCTATGCTACTAATGATGGAGGAATATGTAGTAGATATTTTTTCTTTATATGCAAAGTTTGTCTTTTTTTCTTTTTTTCCTCAGGATCGTTCCAGTAGGGATGCAGGAGCTCCATGCTTAAGATGTATGTAAAACTGTGAGCCTTTTGTATGGAGAATGCCATACATTCTCTTCACATTTGCAGAATTCATGTTCTAGGCAAGGAAAAAATTTTGCTAGACTCTGCAAGAATATCAGTTTAATTTGAGGTGCAATGATTGGCACCTATTAAAAAAGAATTGGGACATCTCTTCTGTGTCCTGCACAGCTCCTATAATGTAATAAATGTCCRTATACTGTCTGTATGAAATTGGATGCTTTGTGGATACCCTGTTTCCAAATTCATTTTTTTTTATTATTTCTGGTCATCTGGATGGGTCCTTAAAACTCGAATTTACTCTGTTTGCAGAGGGAAGAATAATATTCTGTGGTGAATAATAAAAGTTACACCCTGTTGGAATAGGATCTCTTCCTTGTTTTCTCATTGTTGGGGTCAGCTTATGTGTTCCCACAGTGGACAACTCAAAATTACTGTTGTTCTCCAGTTCTTTGCAGTTAAAATTAGGACTATGCCTATTTCTCTGCTTGATTTAGGAGGCTGTAGGAAATATTAGGTCAGTAGAATGGCAATGCTTGTCATGGAAAATTTCCCTGTGCAAACGATTACTTTCTCTTCTAGCAGCTCATATTCTCCCCAGACTCTAGTGCTTCAGGCAAAATTTTACTCCTAACAGATGTAAAATTCTGCATTTGGAACATGACATATGTCTATGTGAGGTCCCATTTTGGGGAGGCTTCTTGAATTCCTTTTACTTTTAATGTTGCAATTATTCATATCAACGGGAGTGCTCCAAATGGTTTGAGACGCATAGGAAGTGTGCTGCTAAAGACTGCTAATCTTCTCAGTCTTATCTGTTTTATTCTTTGTTTCAATTCAAATAAATAAGGGAGGAGTTAGGAACTGCTCTAAATTCCTGGTGAGCCTGGGCTGCAGCATTTTCTTTGACTTGTTTCAAGGCCAGTATCTCRGGAAGAACCAGAGTTTATTTTCCAAAAAATGAAGTAGTTTAAGGACTCCCAATGATGGAGCATTCATTGCAACATTTGCAATAGCTGTCTATTTTACACAGCAAAACAAAACTGGACCTGCAGGTCAAGCCTTTCTCTTCATTACAGCAGAAGAAATAATCATTTCAAATGCACTCACTGAATAGTTCACTTCGATTATGATGATGCTAAACTAAAAGAAAAAAAAAAATGGAAAYGAAGAGATGTGGATTTCTAGAGACAGYGTGTTTTGCCATGGAGACAAATACTAAAGTAAATTGGCAAATTAGATTGAAATAAACAAAAATCCTAGGGAATTACAGACTGTTCAATACTATGTATCAAAGACTCATCATTTACTTCAGGGAAATCACCACTACAGATTATCATAACTTTTCTTTTAAAATTCATGAATTTTTTTCATCATTTGTCACTGTTGACTTAAAAAACACATGAAGGGAAATTGTTGTTCTGAGATATAAAGAAATATTGGCCATTGGGATAAGGAAGGGGAGCCTTACAGCAGCTTTCCTGCTAAGGAAATACCAGAATGGCAGCCAAAATATTTCATATTTGATCTATGCTTGTTTTAAGATGTGGCAGCCAAAGCTTAATCTGTATTCCCCAAAACTCTTACGTGTGTTAAGCAATTGTTTAAAATAAGAAATTGTTTTTCTGTGAATAGGTGTAAGCTGCACCGGTATATAGGCACATGATAAAATATGGAGGAATCTATCTGAATTTTGACAGTGCTGCTGTGTGTTTATTCATTTTAAAGACAAACTGAAATGTGATTTCAGAAAACTAAACAGAAAATAGAAAGCAGAGTATTGTATTGTACTGTAAGATCTAGTAGTGCCCTGAAATCTGTGGTATAACCTATTTCAGCATGAAGCTGACTGACAAGGTCTTCACCTTGCTATGCAAAAATTTGTCTAACAATAAACAGGAAAAAAAAAAGGCTTTGGGAGAAGAACAAGATTTTTTTTCCTGAAATATAAAAGAGACACAGCATAGGTCACTTGTCCATGCGAGACAAGAAATCTGTGGTAGAATAAGTAGTAAGCTAAGTTAACACAGAATTAGGACACTTTTACTGCTGTTTGATATCCTTTCTACTTTCTCTTACCAAAGAACAATTCTCTAATTTGGTACTTTCCCTACTTCTTAAAGAGAAAAAAAAAAAAAAAAAAAAAGAGTAGTCAAAAAGCATTAAAATGTCTTGCAATTTTCTTGGCAAGCATTACGTAATTTGAGACAACAGAATGAAGTAATAATAGCTTATCAGTTTTTAAAATATTTACACTGTTAGCCTTTGTAGTGCATTAAGTAAGACTATTCCACTGGACCTATTATAAATAGTAAACAATAAATTGCTATCCATAATATCTTAGAGTTAATGATGAAATCCAAGTTAATGACAGCATTGTCATTGTCTTTAATGGAGCCAGTGTTTCAGCTTAAAGGTACAAA